ATATATATATATATATATATATATCTATATATATATATATATATATATATATATATACGTTTTATTTTACTTTGGCTTCATAGTAGATGCTTCCCAATTGTACATTAAAGACCACTGAGTAACACAAAGGGACATACATTTCAGATTTTTATATGCAAGAAGAAAGACACAGTATTTCAGAATATATATTTTTTAAATTCAAACAAAACAAAAATAACTAAATATTACTAAATGTCTAAAAAATCATAATAACATAGTAAAGGTTCTCAATTTTCTGGACGTTTTTTTTTTAATTGGATGCTTCCCTTTAATAGTGTTTTTCTATAAATCCCATCCTGTATAATTATTAACATTTATGTGTTTCAAAGAAAAAAAAAGTGCATTGCATCACTGGATCTTTTACAAGCACTTACATCCTGGTTGGACATGTCCCAGTAAGGCCTCTCGCCGTATGACATCACTTCCCACATGACAATGCCATAACTCCACACGTCACTAGCTGAGGTGAACTTTCTGTAAGCGATAGCCTCCGGTGCTGTCCACCTTACTGGTATCTTTCCACCCTGAGGGGAATAAAAAGAGAATAGTTGAGTTAGAGAAATGTCAGAGTTCTCAAATGTCTGATGTCCTCGTAGTAAATTATAGTCAGCCTTTATTCTGAAAAACAGAGGACTTGTCTTAACTAGCTACAATCTTTGTTTTTTGCCCATCCACCTGCATCCCAAACATTCACGAGAGATTCTATCCGTCTCAAGAGAGACTGAACAGTCATCGACCCACTTTACATTTACCACTGCCTTGTTTCCTGCAGCTTTGTTTGACAAAAGGAAGATAGGTCTGGGCAACGGCTCCTTCATTGAGCGTTTCTGTCTGTAATTAGGCTACCTGGGCCTAAGGCATGCCACGCGTGCTGTTGACTGGAATTGACAGCGGCTTGTTTTTAAATTCCATGCACGCATACAAACAGACCCAGCTGGGAACGTGTGTGCAGACACACACAGAGAGGTTTGTGTGTGCACACCCACACACACCAATAGAACAGACAGACACGTAGCCCTGCCAATCCCCTTACATCTGAGTTGAGTTTGTCACCAGCTTAATGCCAATTAAATGAACCTGAGCATTTGGAGATAAGCCGCTGTTAGAAACAAACCCAAGAAAAACCAGTGCAGACCACCCAAAGTGAGAATAATAACACAGAACATGGTTGTTTGGAGTCTATCCATGTTGTCTGCATGCATCTGACAGTCTCTTTTGTTTCTGTGTTACAGTTTTATATATTACAGGTTGGTGTTATGTTGTTATGATGGAGAGAGCTTGACCTTCGTAATAAGCACATATTTAGGTTTTGATCATGAAGAAACTGCTGATCCAGAAGAAAGGCCTGATATCTGACAGTGAAAGGGGTCTGCCATCAGAAAACATTGCAAGACGACGTGAATAAGCCTAATCAAGGGCACGAGTAAAAGTTAAAAAATAGACATTAAAGACTGAAAAAGCAGTCAGTGGTACAACATTTAGGTTTGCGAGCATTTCACAAGAAAAAAGTGAGGAAAAAGTCAGAACGGGTGAGAAGAAGAGAAAAAGAAGTGAGTAAAGGCTGTTTAAACTCGCATTCCTTCAGTGTTCTGCTCACATCTTAGCGTAGCTCATATCTGAATCATTTCATCTAAACCAAAAGCCCGGGGCTCTGTCACATGCCCCTCCTAACGATGGAGGGCACAGAAACCACACAGATATGGGACAAATATCATCTCTGCAAAAATTATATCATAAAATGACCAACCGACTTCTTGTTCCTTCAGGGAAACTATGCCATGTCAAAAATCTTGTTCAAATGAATATACATCAGAATGAAAAAAATGAAGAAATAAATGCAGCATAACAGGAAAAAAAGCTATGAACTTGCTTCCAGCAAATCTATTATAGTCTCTTTGTAACTTGCTTTCTGTTCTCATCAGTTTATACATCTGGTCCCACGCCCTAGGACCCTGTTAGGATATGAGCTGAGCATCGTTGAAATGGTCTGAACAAAGACACAGACTTCACAAGACGCTCCCAGTGTGCCACCAATGAGACAAACATTTGTAACAACATTTCCAAGTCGGGTGAGTCAGAGGCAGCTATGCACACCCTCAGTAATTACTGCTGTGGGCCAGTGATAGTTCTGCTAAAATCCTACTTCAATAACATGCAGTGCTGAACAGCTCATGAATACCAGTGAAAAAGGCAAAAACTGAAGTAAAAACATTTTTTTTAGTACAAAGAACATCAATACTAGGGGGAAATAGTTGGGGGCAAAAATGTGAAAACAGGTCTAATGTAAACAACAAAGGAGAAGTGGTTTCTGAAGCTTCTGAAGCCTTTAAATAATGGAAAAACCATACACAGCTAGCTACCAAAAACAGAACAAGCTGTTTTATGTTTGCGTTGAAGTGAAATATCGCTTTTATAAAGCAACGTCCTAACATTGACTATGGTGACATTATTTACATGAATGCCCCTGCTAGTTCCTTGCAGATGTTGGATGGTGTCTACTAGGGCTTGCTAAGATTCATTACTGGTTGTAACCCATCACTGCACTCTGTACTCATTGGTCAGTTGGTCATCATTGTCTACATGTAGGCTCTCACACTGGTTCATTTTCATCTATAAATCACTCCTTGATCAGTTACATTCTTATATCTCCTCCTACATGTCATGTCGTCAGTGCAGTTAGAGCATGCGCTCGTAGGCCATCATTACCTGCAGCGTTCCCTCAGTGCGCACTGAACTTGGCAAAAAGGCCTTGTCCTACTCAGCTCCTGCAACCTGGAACACCTTTCAACAGGAACTGAAGCCGTCCACCTTAATTTATTTAGGGGATTTTAAACATTTGATAAGGTCGATAGAAACATCAAAGCAAAACTGTTCTTGTTTTTAGAATTTTACCTTGTTTTATATAGCACCTTGACTTATTGTTTTTATAACACTACTTTTATTTTAATTGCATTTTTACTGTAGTTTATTGTCGTCTGTACTTTATGTTGTCTGTCTAAAACAGGACATTCTTGTAAATGAGTCCTCATGACTCAATGAGACTAACCTGTATAAATAAAGGCTGAATAAATGAATAACATGCTTATTATGTCAATGGTTAAGTCAGAATGTGTGTAGACCTGACATGCTTTATGGTCACTGTGGCCACAGAACTTCTACACCTTGAGTGGGGAAAAAAAATCTAATAATATACCTCCCAAAACTCTGCGTCTATTAAGTTCAGCAGGTGATATGCAGTTTTTGATTTTCTAGCAATATCAGGTGGTTCAATTTTCTGGTTGATAAGTTTTAGTACTTTAAATAAAAAGGGAGCATTCCTAACTACATTAGCGTGGCAGACACAAACCCAAATGTTCCTTCCCACATATGCAGGTGAAAAACACATCTAGCCATGTTTGCACACAGAAATCCACTCCTGAAAACCTTGCGCTAACATTTGAAGGGGCTGTCATCTCTATATCAACAAAGTGAGATTACAGTACGTGACTGGCTCCACCTGGATGTGACCGCCTCTGACAGGTTACGACCAGCAGTGACGGCTTGCGATGTGTCTGAAGTGTGACGTTGAAGGCGATGTGCCGGGACTGTCACGTTTAGAGGAATCGTGGTTGGACCAGTGTGTTTTATTGTGACAGCCAGGCCTTAGAGATTAAGGACAAACATCTGCCGGTCAGGTAATGTGTGTCTTAGATTGTGATACACATAGCAAGGATACGAAACACCTGTCAAGTCTTGGCTGTAGTTTGAGCTACAGAGCCACTAATGTGCAGATAATTTCATGTAGTCTGTCATAGACATGCTGATGTGAAATGAGGCCAAATACAGAAAACATATAGCTGCCACGGTCCAGTTGTCACAAACATGCAGGAACATCCCAGATAAGCTTACTTCCGAATAGTCCAGCACTTGTTGTTTTTACTCAGCTTTTGCTTTTTACTTCATTTTGTGATTCTAAACAAACTTTCTAAGCCATCTGGAAGACAAATATGTAGATCTTTCATTCCCTGTTTGTTTTTTTTTTCTTTCTTTCTTTCCCCCATTCCCTCTTCTCCTTTCCTTTCCTCCACCAACTTCAGTAATCCATTTCCAAACAATGCACACTCAAATGGGCTTGAGCACATTTACTTAGGCTGGGCAGAGTGCTCCATCAACATCGTTTTAATGAAATCCTGAAAGCAACGATCTGCCCTGGATGTCTGCCCAAACAGAATAAATAAAGATGGAAAAAAAAGATAAATGCTGAAGGAGGCAGAGAAGATGACTGACATAGAGATGCGGAGGGGAAGAAAGGCGCAAGGAAGAGAGAAAAGAAGGTCATTGTGTGACTGAATTGTTGGTTTCTCAGACACTCATGGGAATGTCTGGTGAAACAGGGACATAGGTCTTCCAACATGTAAACAATGAAGTAATGTAGGGCTCTAGAGACATTGTACAGACTTCAGTATGCATTTCATAGATCCTGAACATTCTGACATTTAGGAAGGACCTTTAAAAATGTTGAGTTTGGTTAATAGGTGAACTTCAGGATTTCTCATACAGCACAAAATTATAACAGAAGGGATAGAAAACATACTCTACATATCATAGAGTACCTTCTTTATGTACTTGTATTCAGAATGATTAAGGGAAATATGCCTTCTTGCATGCATTTATTTCTGTTTGTTCCATTTTCAAAAATAGCCGCAGAACAAACTAAATTTCAGTCATGTATGATCTGGCGGTGTGATCGAGAGCAAGGAAGAACAATTGTTGTAGTTCTAAAGTTTCATGTATTTTTTTTAAACAAAGGATTTACATAAAATCACTTTATCTCAACTCATATTTTAAAAAATAAAATGCATGTCCAAAATTAGACGTGACTAGTTATAAACTTTCTTTTCATTTTCAGTCAAGTTTCATTTTTTTATTTTATTTTATTTGAGGCTTTACTTTAGTTTATAAATAGTATCCATGATGGGAGACAAAAAAAGAAAACCATAGTGGAAACACAAAAAGTCTACATTTTTCTCTATTTGAAGTAAATGGGATATTTTAAACAAATGGTACAGGCTTTATTATTTGTTTGCCACAGAAAAATAATGTTTCTAAATATGGAATATTGTACGTCCTAACTATATAGTGCCATAGGTAATCAACTCCTATATAATAAATTATACTTGGGAAACTTTTAACTGTGTTCTGGGAAGCTTTGGGTTACAGCAGAGAAATGCCCTTTCAGGTTTCATTCAAATTTGAGTGTATTTTACAGTAATTGTTTTATACTTGTGACATTATTCATGTTTAATGAGGGAGGGTACAACTGTTGTTTCGGAGCAGGAACGTTCTTGGGTCAAACCACAGTTGGGTTTTGCTTAAGTAGAAGTTGCATGCGCCAAATTTAGTTTTTCTGAGTGCTCTAGTTTCCTCCCACAGAACAAAAACGTGCATGTTAGTGGTGATTCTGAAGTTCTGTAATGGACTGCTGGCAACCTGTTCAGATTTGACTGCCTCTCTCACTCAGTGTCAGCAGCGTCAAACTCCATTT